TTTTTTTTTTTTGTTTTAATCCCTCTTTATCTATTATTTCGCTTTCTAATCTAACTTTTTGTAAAAATTTATAAAGAAAAATCCTACGTCTGCCAAAGTATCATAAACAGGTAAAAGGACAAAAACTTTCTGCAAGTTTTTTAGCCAGGCACTTCTAGTTTCAGCAATATATTAGCACTGAGCAATCATTCCCTTTTCCTTTTTTCCCCCCGTTCTTCGCACAAATGAATTTAGAAGCAATCAAATAAGTTGACTAAGTTTGCTTATTAATCGGTAATCAATACACAGAGCTTACAAAATGGCCATCACAAACGCTAGCCGATGCATATGTATGGTTGGACCTGTGATGGTAGTGACAACTCTCTGGCATTTTTCCTACTTCCAAACGTCCGCTACCGTCAGCATTTCGGTATACAGTGGTAAATTGCGGAACAACCAGCTGCTTGAGAGTCGGTTCAAATTCTAAGTTATGTTCCTCATCGTCAACGTTAATCAGCAGTCTTTCCAAACTTCCGTCATCGCCATACTTAGCATTTGGAAGGATTGTTTTATAAGACGGGACTGAAATAATGCACTACGGGGCTGCACTTTTAGGTCACAAAAAGCGCAATTAAAAAATTTAATTTAAAAGTTGGGCATAAACGACAAGCCGAGGTCACTTTAACTTTACTCACTTTTTCACAAGAAAAAAGTAGAAAAATTAAAAATAAAAAACAAAAACTTTTTTTAATATTTTTAAAGATAGAGATCAAAAATGACTTAAACTAGTTCAAAATGTTATTTACAATTGACTCAACTCTTAACCATACTTCCCCAACTTAGTGTTCAGATAAAAGAAACAATCCCACCATAAATAAAGTGCATTTGCTTTTGTGAAAAAAAGGTGAAAATCTTATTCAAAGAAACGGAAAACATTAAATTTGAAAAATATACATTTCATTTGAAAGGTTCTTTTGTAATTAATTTCACAGTCTCTTCCTTCCTCAACTTCCTTCTCAAATTTCTTAACGAATAAATCCTAAACAAACCCGTTATATATTAAAACTAACAATACCAATCAGATGCAGGATAACACATCATTGTTTCCGAGAAATTCTATATAATAAGCCGGTTGCAGACAAAAATTTTGATTTTTTTACTTAAACTCCGGAACTTGAATGATTCTTTATTGTCCACCACAAATCGAATAAAACCCACCCCTTAAAATTTCCACCCTCTCCCGTCCCCCCTCTTCTCCCCTTCTTTCCCTTCAGCTCAAGAAAAAAAAATAATTTAGAAAAAGAAATACAAGTAACCGTTTTTCGATTTTTCGTTCTAAGCACAAATTTTTTTCAGTTAGAGTTTACAATAAACAATTTTATGAAAAATCACTATTGACAGCTGAAACACCAAAAAAAATTGAAAAAAAATCACGAAGTTAAAAAATTTACCTTCACTAATATGTTTCACTCCAAAGGTATACCTCAATTCATCGACAGTTAGAAACGGCGCAATTGCGCTGCACTGCTGAAAAACTCAAAATAGTAGTGAAAAAAAAATAGAATAAAAAATGTAAAAAATAAACAAATTTACATATAATCAACATTATTTTTAATATGTATTGGTATAGTGATGAAATAAAGTTGAACAACATCTTTCATTTCTATCTCTTTCTTTTTTTTCTTTCCTGTCTTGAAAAACTTTTTTTTGTTTATCTTTCACTTTTTCCATTTATATCTTCAAATTACTTTTCCTTAATAGTCTTCTTTGCTGCAAACACTAATTGAAGATCTTAAAATGTCTAGTCAACTTTAATAAAAAAAATTTACTTTTAATTGGCAATTCACCTGTCTGTTTTACAGTTTACACCTATTTCCCACTAAGTTTTTTCCTTAAATACATTCCATTTTCCCCTTTTTTACTGTCACTAAGCACCAAGCTAAAAAAAAAACAATAGATAACTGTTATTCAGTTGCTGGTCATTATCATCCCGTCAACTCTGATTGATCAGGTTTCAAGCACCTTCTCTTTTCAAAATAAAAAAAAAAACAAAAAGACGTTGGCAGTGACAATGGTAATGAAAATAAAGAATGCACTCCTCCATGTTCTGTAACAGAGAGGAAGGAAGGGCAAAATTTTTGCTTTACTTACGTGCAAAATAAAGTCAAGAAGTATAAATGCGAAAAAACTAGTTGCCCTTCGTGCACTGCAAAAAAAAGCAGTATGAAAAAAATAAAATAAAATAAAAGAACTAAAGTTAGTTGTGATCAGTCGTTTGCATGACGGTAACGCTGTACCCAAAAGAACTACCCTTTGCAGGACCATTGGCAAGCAGCGCACGCTGTTTTCTTTGATATTGATTATGATGAGAAGTGTATTAAAAGGTGCACCT